AGCCCCGGCGCGGGGGACCACCGCACAGCACCCCGGGCCCCCCGCCGTCCCAGGAAGTGCGCCGTCGCCGCGGTGCCCGGGGTGAGCGCGCCGAGGCCGCACGCCCGAGCCCCACGAGCACGCGCCGGACGCCGCTCACCCACCTGCGACCCCGGTCAGCCGCCATAAGCCCTCCCGGCAGAAGGGCGGGCCGAGACGCCGCGCTCGGCGACGCCATTGCTCGCCTTTCCCGCGCTGGCCGCGCACCGCCCACCGCCCAGCGAACCGGACGCCGCGTGCCGGACGCCCCGCCCAGTGACGGCACACGCAGAGCGCGCCCGGCCTCTCCGGCCTGTGACGTCACCGCGCACGCCCTTCTCAGCCCGCCCCTACAGGAGCCGCAGCGTCCTTACGCGGCCTGCCCCGCCTCTACGTCGGTTAGTCCCGCCCCCACGTGAGCGGACCACGCCCCCACGAGTGCCTTACGAGAGTTCGCCCTTCCCCGAAGCGAGCCGGCCCCGCCCCTATCCGCGTGGGCCTTTACGCAGGGATGCTCAGCCTGCGTTCCCGCGTTAGTCCCGCCCCTCCGGCGGCTGGCCCCGCCCCCGCGGACCGTCCCCGCCTCCACGCCGGCCGGCCGCCTACCACAGTGCGTGCTGTCGTCGCTTCTGCCTAGCCGGCCCCGCCCCCACGAGGTCAGGCTCCGCCCCGCGCATCTCAGCATTTGCAGCCGCCGAGATGCGCCCAGGTGCAAGCAGGTAGGGCCCGCACGGTCATTGTCGCGGGCACGGGTCGCCCTTGGCCCCTGGTTCCCTGGAGAATCGGGCCTTCCTGGCGCTGCGCGCTGCGTTTCCCAGTAACCTTGGGACAGAAACGGGCGAACTTTATTGAGCTGAGCGGGTGCTCAAGGTGGACAGAGGACCTGAGGTGTATTTGGGGACCGGGGCGAAGCCACATCGTGCCAGGCCGAGAGCCCTGGCCTGAAACCTTCTACCAGGCACGAGACCTGCCCGGCCTGGCACGAGGCTCCCCTGGGACTGCCCGCAGAGCATCCTTGGTGACACCTGGTTGGCCCACGTGCTCGATGCGGAGCCCCTGCCCCAGAGGTGGCCAAGGTTGTGGAACACGTGGTGAGACCCTTGACGCCAACTGTCAGCAGTGCGCCCTTGCGCGCGGTCTGCGTCCTGGAGCATTCCTAGCCCCTCCGGAACCTGGAGGCCCCGATTGCCTGAGAGGCTCCTGTCCTCTCTGTCCAGCGTGTCCCCTGTGCTTAGTGGATATGTTCAGTCCGGCATCAGGTCTCTGTAAGATGCCAGCGAAGCACAACATCTCCATGGGCATAGTACAGCCTGCCCTCCGTGTGGTCCAGGCAGGGGTGCAGCCCATTTCAAGCACCAGGAAAGGTGGTCTGAGGACCCAGTGAGTCAGAGCGGAGAGGTACATCCCAGGAGACAAGTTTATGGTGGTGCCCAGTTATCCTGGTAGAAAACACTGTCCTCGACCCGGTGACCGAAGTCGACCTCATAGGTAGGGGGTGGAGTAAGGGGTTCCATTCTGGTGGTCATCTCCAGGTTCTGCAGGTCTGGTTCAGTGGACGCTGCCCGCGGCAAGCCGACACGGAGCCTTCTCGAGCTCCCTTCCTGGGTCAGGGAGCCCTCTGAGGCCCCTCGCCTCCGCAGTGCCCCTCTCCTGGGTGCCCCTCTCCTGAGTGCCTCTGTATGGCCCGGCTGGCCCTCAAGCCCCAGAGCAATCACAGTGCTGTAGGGCGGTGGATCCTCCTGCGTCTGGGGGCTGGGGGGTGGCTCCAGCTGCACAGCCACCTCATAGCTTGGCACCTCAAAGGCTTCATTGTCCCTGGTGAAGGAGAAAGAAGGTCACCCGCAGCTCTCTGAAAGGAGCCCTCTCCGGTTCCTGTCTGTCCACTGTGCCTGAGCCCTTGGCTGGCCTAGTCCAGGGCAGGGACAGTGAGCCGGCCTGGGGGCAGGGTTCCACTCACCTAGCGTTTTCCGAGGTTCCTGGGCTCTGGGCTGGCGCTTCTGGGCACCCCCTCCTCAGTAATGCATCCAGGAGCCGGACAAACACCAAGAAGCAACTCAACGCGATGAAGAAGTAGGACGCGGGGACCACGCTGGGCCCGGTGCTCAGCAGGGCCAGCCCCAGAAGGAAGGAGAAACAGCTCAGGTACAGGAGGGACTTCTTCAGGTGTGCCCACAGGTGGGAGGGCACCATAGCCCCCGCTCCTGGAAAAGACAGCTGTGCACAGGCCTGGCCACACCTTCATCTGGCCTAGGGTCTCCACTGTCCAATCAAAGTGACGGTCAAAATAAACACTCAGCAGGGTCTCCTGCCGCTGGGGACCTCTCAAGGACCACCCTAGGCCCACAGTCTTCATTCTCAAGGGAAGCCAGGAGAGACAGCAGTCCAAGTGTCCCGGCCCCTGGCTTGGAGCATTCCCTGCGTCACGCCCTACCCACTGTCTGCTTCCTTCTTCCCAAGGTCTGCCTGCCAGCCCCAGCCCACACTCCTCCCAGGACCCAGTCAGGGCCGCTGTGCACATCGGCATTTCAGGAATCTGCAGATGGGGCCAGCCCTGCCCTTCCTCCTGACTGCTGGGCCTCCCCAGACAGGCTCCGGGCTCTGTACAGTGGAGTGGACACCACAGGGTCACAGTGTCCTGACACAGGATCGTCGGACAATAGTCGTGGGACAGAGGCCCTCAGAATGCTTCAGGGCATACCCCAGGACCTCCACCGTCCACTAGCCCACCCAACAAGCCCAGATTGTGAGTTCCCTGACCTCGTAGCCTCGTGAGGCCGTGACTGACCAGCCGGCCTATGAACCCACAGATGGCCCGCTGTGCAGATAGAGAAGTGACAGTCGGCTTCTGTGAAGATTTACAGTCCCACAAACCCTGTGAGGCCGAGTTCCTCTGTCGAAGGGGTCTCTGTGAGTCAGATTCCCCTCCAGTGGGCTGGCCAGGGCTAGGACAGCAGCGGGATGGGGGTGCAGGGGTGCGGTCTTCTCTCAGAGCACAGCGAGACACCTAGGCCCCCGGGAACCACACAGCCGGTCCCCAGCCCCGTAGTGGCAAGATGCCAGCCTCTCCTCCCCTCAGCGCCTCCCCAGCCCGGTCATCGCCCACCTGGCCAAGCGCGAAGCCTCCCTCACCGGTGCGCACCTGAGGAGAAGGTGCAGGAGCCGAGGGGGCGGGGTCCAGCCGAGGCCCGCCCACCTCCTTCCCTCCAACCAGGGCCTCGGGCCGCTCTGCCTCCGCCCTGTCCTGAGGCCCCTAACCCTCACCTGCATTTTCTGAGTTTCACTCACTCTGCTCACCCCACCCTGTCTTAATGAGCGGCCTTCCTTCTCCCCCGCACCCCACAGTCCCGTGATCTTTGTACCGGTGACCAGAGCTGGAAGGAGCCTCTCCCAGTGCTCAAGGCTTTAATTACAGCGCCGGGCGGGTCACCTCTGCCTGTGTGCGGGCCTGGACCCCAGGAGCGAGAGCTCATCCTCTGTAGTGTCTGCGGATCTGGTGATGGACTGTACGCCCAGCTCTACCGCCGCCGGTTCCGGGCGGGCTGCCCAGGCCTGTGCCGTGAACAACCCCGCAGTCTGCACACCTGTGCGCGCCGGGCGTTTCCCTGGCTGATTGGTGGTCCCTCATCTCTATCTTAACGAGAGGCGAGAAACAATGTCAATCCCAGCAACCCAAGACTGGCCCCATGAGGTGGACATCAGAGCCACCCCTCACCTGCCAACCTTCTTGCCTGTTCTGAGGCAGGGGCACCTGAAGCAACACTGCTTGATTGGACACTTCATTGCAGTGGCCACACACAACTCACAGACTACATGCAGACTATGCAGTTTATTGGGAAAGGAACAGATAACAGTTTGGGACCATGTATGAAATACATCCAGCATGCTCGTTGGAGGCAAGGATGGTGCCGCTTCCTCTCTCATATTTTGGGCATGTTGCTAGGCGAGGCTAATCCTTGGCAAGTGATAACATACTTGGAAAGATAAGAGGGTCAGCAAAGGAGAGGAAGACCCCCAACAAGATGGATTGACACAGTGTCTGCAGCAATGGCCTCACGTTATTTTGGAGACGGCGAGGGTGGCACAGGATGGGACAGGGGTCAGTCAGGTCTATTGTTGATAGAATCACTGTGAGTTGTACCCAACTCGATGCTTCTAACAACTCCATTCACAGAGTCCCTTCAGACAGGCTCCCTCTCTGGCCCTTGGCCCTGGATCTCTGCCTCACCTCTGCCCTGCTTGGGCAGGTGTGGCAGGCTCTTGGCTCCACCACATGTCCAGAGGCCCTCCAGTCCACCAGCTTTTGCTCTAAGGGTCAGCATGCCTGCTGTACCCACCCCCTGCCTTCTCATGCCAGCCTCCCAGTCTTCCTGCTGCTTCCCTGCCTCCCTTGATGCCACTTCTCGCCCTCTCCAGCGTTACAGCACTTTCTGTCACCCACGGCTAGGCGGTGGCTGGTGTGGGGACCTGGGTCTGAAGGACGTGTCCTATCCTGGGGTTTCTTTTTGGTGGCACTCAGGTCCCCTCTCGATTGTCCACCTTCAAGCCTGTCAGAACTGACCAAGCCCCTCATTAGGGCTCCTATGCCTTATTTACATTAGCAGCCAGCTGACCAATCTCCTTGATAGGCCGCAGACATCTTATTTGCATAATCCCACCCAGCCGTTGCATGGGACCCACAGAGACTTTGCCCAGGACTGTTGTGGCCTTCTTCCTACCAGTTTCTTACTACCCCACCCCTGGGAGGGTGGTGTGACAGGGAGCAGAGGGAAAGAACGTGGGGGCTTGCTAGGAAGTGAGTCCTGGATTGAGGGCCTGCTGGGCAGGGCTCCAGGCCTCCTTTGTGAAAGGCTGTGCAGCCATTCGGGGTGCCCCTGCAGCCTCAGAGCCCTGCTGGTGGGGTGGCAGCAGGCATGCTGGTGCGTGGTGTGTGCTGCTCCCCGTGCCAAGCACTGTGCACACAGGATGCCATTCTAAACACTGAAAACACTGGTGCTGTAACAAGTGGTGGTTTGGGCTGTTGATTTGGGACCGACCCACAGCTGGCCCCCAGCGGGTCCTCAGAGGCTGTAAACGTCACGGGAAGAGACTGCCCATCTGCTTCCACAGGAGCAGCTGGGGGACTCACACGGCAGGTCTTGCCACGAGGCCACCAGAGCTCCCCTGTAACAGAGGTCCATACCACTATATATCCGATATGAGGAGCGGCCAGTTCTGGTGCAGGACCTCGTGCTCAGGAAGGAGGATCAGTCGGAAAGAGCAAGCCCCTCAGGCACGCAGGCTGGTGGTGACACGAGAGCAGAGAGGCTGAGGCTGGGGTACAGCCGGCAGGCTTCACCCTGCGGCCCCGGGGACACTGTGAGTCGGAGCTTCCTAGTGACAGCGGCAGCGTGTACAACAGGCCAGGCCTTCACCCTGCGGCCCCGGGGACGCTGTGAGTCGGAGCTTGCTAGTGACAGCTGCAGCAGGTGAGATGGCAGACTCAGAGAGGTCAAAGGCTTGAGGGAAGTGGGAAAGAGTGGAGTCAGAACTCGAACACAGCCTGAGCCCAGCACCCGGCTCATGACCGCTCTGCCCGCTGCCCTATTGTTAACTACTGTGGAGTTAGAACTCAGCCGCGGCTAACCTTCCAGCAGGTTTTGAGAGGCAGTAAATGGCATGAGAGGAGATTGCCCATGTGACGAGATGCCTGGGTGAGCCTGGCACGGTTGTCTGGTCTCCTTGAACAAGTGGTTAGATGGCATTCTCCCCATGGCTCTGGTCTTCAGACAGCAAGGGCCGCTGGCATCAGGAGATAAAAGCAGATGAATGACACTCGAGGCAGGCTGGGAGTTCCGATCTTGGCCTCAGGGGGACACTTACCTGCTGTGGTCCAGTTAAGTCTGATTATAAAAGACAGCACCACAAACTGAACAATCCTAGACATCTAAGATGCAGATGACTCTGAGAAGACCTTGGTGCTTCTGTTGATTATCTGTGAGTGAGTGTCACCATCTGTTTGGATCGTTAGTGTATTGGTGTGGAAGAAACTTGATCATCATTTCCATTTCTGTTAGGTGCTGTGTGGTCGGTTCCGTCTCAGAGCCACGTTCAACAGGAAGGTGCATCCTGGTGCTGTATCAGAGCCACGTTAAACAGAAGGAGCAGCCTGGGCCGGGTCAGCCTCACAGTGGTCTTTGAGCCTATTTTTGTAACCACCGTGTCAGCTCCAATCGCGTTGTTTACTCCCTGAGAACCAGAGCTGGCCTCTAAACTCAGCTGTGTGGATGCCTCTGGGCTAGTGGCCATCTTCATTTCCCAAAGAGAGTGGCTTTGAGAAAACAGAAGTTTACATCCTCACAGTTGAAGAGAGACGTTTGAATTCAGGGTGCTGGCTCTAGGGGGACAGCGTTCTCTGTCCACCCGGGGAAGGTTCTTGTCTCTCCCGGAGTCCCTGGGTTCCGTGGCCATGTTTGCGTGGAATCTGTCTCCCACTGTGCTTGTTTATCTCCTAGTCTCTGCTGCTCAGATTATCTCACCTTTGATGAGGTTTAGGATATGCCCTGCCCTCCTGTGACCTCATGAATGTAACAAAGGAATCCTATTACCAAATAGAATTAAAGTCACCACAAAACCGGAACGCCCCCTCAAGCCCGCTGCCATCCAGCCAGCACTGCTGCGTGGCCGCCCTCCGGCTGGCTCTGAGGCTGGATCCTTCTGGAGCAGAGTGATCAGCTTTCCTCTCCGGAGCCGTCGGTGGATCCGAGCAGCTCACCTCTAGGATAGTAGTCTTATCTGTACATCACTGTGCACGAAGGCTCTGACAGCCACGGGGAAGAGCTTGGCTTCTCACAGAGCTTTCCCGGGGGACACAATCCAGGCCAGAACACAGCTCCAAATGCTCCCAGCAGGTACGGAATCAGTTCAACACGGAAGGTTACAGTGTTGATGCTTCCCAGGGAACAGCGGGGCTCCGCATCCTAAACAAAGCCACAGCAACTGTCCTGGAATCGCTAAGGGACAAGACATTGTGACAAATGTGCACAGCAGTGGGGAAAGGGCCTCACACGACTGCACGTCTAGCACCAATGACATGCAGAGGCCCCCTGCTCGGGCATGTGTGTTTGAAAGATGGCAACACTGGCTTCATATCTTGACTCCATCATCGATGAGCTGTGGTCTGAGCAATAGAAGCTTTGTGGTTGTAAGGCTGT